ATGACCTGGGACTAGGATTCATGATCTGGGACTATGATTCATGACCTGGGACTATGATTCATGATCTGGGACTATGATTCATGACCTGGGACGCCAGTTCAGCCTGGGACTATGATTCATGACCTGGGACTATGATTCATGACCTGGGACTAGGATTCATGACCTGGGACTAGGATTCATGACCTGGAACTATGATTCATGACCTGGGACTAGGATTCATGACCTGGAACTATGATTCGATCTGGGACTATGATTCATGATCTGGGACTATGATTCATGATCTGGGACTATGATTCATGACCTCGAACTATGATTCATGACCTGGGACTATGATTCATGATCTGGGACTATGATTCATGACCTGGGACTAGGATTCATGACCTGGGACTATGATTCATGATCTGGGACTATGATTCATGACCTGAGACTATGATTCATGATCTGGGACTATGATTCATGACCTGGGACTATGATTCATGACCTCGAACTATGATTCATGTCCTGGGACTATGATTCATGATCTGGGACTATGATTCATGATCTGGGACTATGATTCATGACCTCGAACTATGATTCATGACCTGGGACTATGATTCATGACCTGGGACTATGATTCATGACCTGGGACTATGATTCATGATCTGGGACTATGATTCATGACCTGGGACTATGATTCATGACCTGGGACTATGATTCATGATCTGGGACTGTTATTTAAAGCTTTAGACTCAAATATTCACATTGTCGGGCTTAGGTACTGGAGATGGGTGGTGGTACTGGTCACTCGCCGTGTTGAACAATGATGAACAATAAACAGTGACCAGTTGAACAGAGATTAGTGAACAATTGAACAGTTGAACAATAAATAGAGAAGTTAAACAGAGAACAGTGAGAACAAAGCTTCTCAAAGTCTCACATACGATTCACTGAACCAGTCTTCTTCCTCTTTATCGTGGGGACAGATAAGCTGGTCCCTCTCTGTCTCACATCCTCCCTCCCCACCACACACACTCTCTCTCTCCATCACCACCATAACACACCCTCAACACCTTCCATCACCACACACACACACACTCCATCACTGCCACCGTTACGCGCGCACGCATGCACACACACATCGCCGCCGCCACCACCACCACAGTCACACCCTCAACCACTAGTACCACACAAACTCAGCTTCCCCAACACCGGTGGTGGGTGTGTGGGGGGCGGGGGGGGGGTTACACAGGGGCTCCACCACTGGTCGTGACTGTGGGTTCAGGGGATGAGTCGGCCATCAGTCAGGCGTTGTCGTCAGGTACAAGAGCGGTCAGCTGGCCCAGTCCCGTCACCAGAGAACTCCATCCTCCCCAAGCCCCCCCCCCCGCCCCCTACTCCTGCCCTCCACACCCCAGCTTTCTCCCCCCTATCTCAATGCCCTCCTCCCCCTAAGCCTTCCTCCTCTCCCCACTAAAACTGAAGAACTCTCACTTACGTATTTACTTCGGCATGGAACTTACGACACTGAGTGATGTGTATCATTAACCTATCTCTTTAGTGTCTTTACTTCCCTCCCACTGTCGTCTGGGGTGGATCAAGGGGTAAAGAAACCTTCAAGAGGAGAGGGTAAAGTGGCGCAAGACGAGTGTGGACAGAGACGAGAGGCTTAAGACAACAAGTACAAATGTCCACACACACACACACAGGACATTCAAGTTATTCTTAGCATATAGTTCTTCTTATTGCAGTTAATTCAAAATCACACCACCTCCCCTTCACACACGTACGATCTGTGCACTTAGACTATTATATTGGTTGTGTTGTTAAAGGCTTGAGGTGAGCATACAGTTGGTGGTAAAGTGGTAACGAGCTTTGTTTCTCACCCCTGGCGTCCCGGATTCGATACCCAGGTCGGACGTGAGAAGGGTGTTATCCAGTGTGACCCAAGCAAACATGGCAGGTTTTTTTCTTTTTTTCGGGTACTCCGGTTTCCTCCCGTACTAACACTGGACCCATGAAGGACAAGTTCATCATGAAAAATGGCGGGGATTAAACAAGCTACTGCCCTCCCCCTCCCCTCTCCCTCCCTCCCTCCCTGACGAAGAGATTAATCTGGTCAGCAAGGAAGACGATACATACTGGCCCAAGATGGTGGTGTCCAAATTCTAAAAAAAAGAAAATCGTACAGTGAATATTCCACAGAAGATGTAAGAACGCACCTGACTGGTTGAACTTAACTCAAAGGCAAAAATAACCACGTACTCTACCTTCATTATATTGGTTCACTAAACACCAGTCAGGGGACAAAACATACAGTATTTTAGAGAATATTTTCCAATATATTATGTATCTTGCTGGAGGACAATCAAACACCCACCTCAGGACCAGCAGAGTGCCCCACTACCACACGTCAGCCCCGTGCCCTACACACAAGCACAGTACAGATGCTGGTGTTTACTGGCTACATGGTCGTGTGACAGCTTTTTACTCCCTGCACAACGTGTAGCGTAACACTACCACTGATAAGAACTGTGGCAGGATTGTCTTGCAAGATGACGTTCCGGCGAGCACTGTGTGACGCTCAACTTTACAGCACCGCACACTAAGACACACACCACCCGCTCTACTATCAATGATTCAGCGAGGAATGATAATGTAAATCACAAGAGCGACACAAGAACAAGCTACAGTGCTTCACAGTTAAGATCAACACACAGTTAAGACCTCTTACTGTCTTTGTTCATTATAATAGTATTGTTAACAAGCGCAACACTAACAATTACCAAGATGGATCCTCACTTGGGGAGAAAAAAATTCACTTGAAATTTTACGAGCACTGAATGTGTTTAACTTGACTTCTTGTGTTACATGGTGAGGTAATGTTAACAAGCCAAACTTAGTCCGTTATCCACCAGCACGACAAGAAAAAACCACAACTATGTCTCTGAATGTGTTCATCTTAATCATCTCAACAGCTCACCACTCTTGGCTGTGTTCATCTCTGGTGGCCTATAATTACACCAAAAGGAGGAGGAGGAGGAGGAGACCGCTATCACAAAATTATTTACACAGTGCAGTAAAAAATGTGTGTGTGTGTGTGTGTGTGTGTGTGTGTGTGTGTGTGTGTGTGTCCATTTGTATTACTTGTTTCAAATACCTGTTTATTACCATTGTTGTCACTCCACACGTGTCCAAGATGAGAGAGAGAGAGAGAGAGAGAGAGAGAGAGTGTGTGTGTGTGTGTGTGTGTGTGTGTTCCTGTAATAATAATAATAATAATTAACGGTTTATTGAAAAAGTTCTGCAGCCCGAAGGCTGAAAATATACATTGGGCATAAATGACTTATTACATACATTGGTGGTTTAACAAAAGCCTTCATTAGAGAAAGGTGAAGGAACATAGTGAACATACAGATTAATGTAGGTGTTGAACAGCAAAAACGTAGTGTAGTAACTCCCTCCCAGATGGTGTTAGGAGGGACCTCACGTGGTGTAGTAGTTCCCTCACAGATGGTGTTATGAGGGGCCTCACGTGGTGAAGTAATTCCCTCGCAGATGGTGTTATGAGGGGCCTCACGTGGTGTAGTAACTCCCTCCCAGATGGTGTTAGGAGGGACCTCACGTGGTGTAGTAGTTCCCTCACAGATGGTGTTAGGAGGGACCTCACGTGGTGTAGTAGTTCCCTCGCAGATGGTGTTATGAGGGGCCTCACGTGGTGTAGTAATTCCCTCACAGATGGTGTTATGAGGGGCCTCACGTGGTGTAGTAATTCCCTCACAGATGGTGTTATGAGGGGCCTCACGTGGTGTAGTAATTCCCTCACAGATGGTGTTATGAGGGGCCTCACGTGGTGTAGTAATTCCCTCACAGATGGTGTTATGAGGGGCCTCACGTGGTGTAGTAATTCCCTCACAGATGGTGTTATGAGGGGCCTCACGTGGTGTAGTAATTCCCTCACAGATGGTGTTATGAGGGGCCTCACGTGGTGTAGTAATTCCCTCAAAGATGGTGTTATATGAGTGAGGTGTGGTTCCAGGCCTTCCTATCGTAGACGGATTAACACATCGCTGGTAGTTGGGTCGGGCCGTTATCACTGGGTACCTGGGACCTCACTGTGTGAAAGGTCAACTTGGGTACCACTGTTACTGTTGAGTTGTTCTCACTGACTTAAGCACTGTTCACCACTGTTCACCTCTGTTTAACACTGGTTCCATTTCTTTCCTAAATGAAATAGTAACTTCTGGTGTGAACTTGTTGATATTCCGGTGGGGAGGAGGGTTCAGGGGAGGGAGTTGGTATGGGCCAACATAACAGTTGACCTGGCTGCTCGGAGAGGAGCGCCAGGTACGTCTTGACCCTTCGGTGGTCAAGGATGTACAACCCCACAGTTCTCAAGACAGAATCATGTTCTTCCACTGGTGAAGTAAATGAAAGGTGTAGTGTAGTGTACATGCAAGGTGAGGCGAAAATGTTACCTGAAGCAGAAATACCTCGAGCGAAGGCAATCAACCGTGTGGCCCCCAAAAAGTCTTCGTTTTCCCTAATGACGACGAGTCTTTCATAGTGAACTTTATGCAGGAAATCATAAGCTCAATACTGCACAGGTAAAATACCGATACAATACAAACTATGTAATATGAAATACACACAAGTGGACTACACGAAAGTTCCTCTCAGTACAGGTGTTCCTTCCTTAACAGTATATTCTCATTTTCTCTTAATACAACTACCGGGTCAAAACACTCTCCAACCTAGACGCTCCCCGCATCACTGTACTAACTGTCATCTATCACTGTTCTAGCCACACAACATAAAACTATCATCCTTCTTATAATTACTCCGTGCTTACCCGAGACGTTTGTGAAAATGGTGCGGCCACACTAGCGTATACAGTTCGTCGCCAACATGTGATCGACAAGACTGAATGAGCCACAGGGTTCCAACTTTGGTGTAGTGGTGCGGCCGCGTGCACCAGACCGGCGTTTCTACTGGTAAAAAGGGAGGGAGTGTGGAGTACTTACAGCGTGTGGAGGTGCTTGAGGTCCTTGAAGTGGTTGGGAGGAATACTCCTGATCTTGTTGAACCGCAGGTCCCTGGAAAAGGAGAATTACACCATCAGTTAATAAAATCCATCATATTAATACAAAAACAAGAAATACCAAATACTTATAAATATACCTTCAAATCTCTCTCTCTCTCTCTCTCTCTCATGCCTTGTTTATTAATTTCAGCACGTTACTTAAACACAAGACCAACACATCAAGCGGTGGCCAAACACATTATCATACAAGCTGGGATTTTTTTCTCAGGTTGAGCTTCCCCGCTGTTGTGGTGAGTCGCGGGCCACCTCTTGTGTCCCACGGCTCAATTGTAGGATATTGACACTGAAACAGTTTATTTAGCCAGATAAAACAGATAGACTCGATAATAATATTAACATGGCTGAGCCAGTTGAGAGCCTGAGCTTTTTTTTTAAATATAATGGTTTTGGCGGTACAATATTAGCAGGAATAAAAAATAGGTATTACAAGGACGTTTGGGCTATGGGCGTTTGGTTTGGGCCAGGGTGGTTAGGACCTGACCTGACCTGACCATCACACTTAACACCACTTCTACGCCCTTAACTCATGAGACATAAAGGCAAGCATAAAGGCATGCTTCCCTGTTGGGCGCTGTAAACGCTTCTGCGCTTCACCTTACACAAGGATGTAGGGGAGTGCCATATAAATAAAAAAATAAAAAAAATAAATAAAAAATAAAACACCACCTATTCGTCTGACTTATGTGGACGATATCACGCAACAACATATATATCCTGATTATTTAAGTCATTTATTATCCACCAGAGGCAGCACTAACAGTAATAATCACTACAGGTGTGGATTAGCAGTGATTACTGTGCCCCCCCCCCTCTATATAACGCACAAAGCTAGACACTATTACTGACTGGTATTAGTAAAACTACAGCTTACATTATCGTTACATAGAACACAACTTTAATAATTAAATATCCAATAAATCAACGGGATTAATGTGATATAAGCTATAAGTAACCTTTACCATACACTCAAGGGCCATTCCTCGTGTACCTAATACCTCTATGGTTAATACAAGTCTCCCATGAAGATAGCATCAAGAGCCTCATAAGCTTTCCTTAATAACATAATCCTCGCAGATACGCCAGTTGTAAACACCACCTATCATATCCCTCGGTTATTATTAAATATATTATTATTGGTTGGAGCGGAAAGCCCTCATAATTGAACACTGAGTATTGTTCAGAGTTTCCAGCCAATGATTGCATCTTTAGAAATCATCCAAGGATATGATTGGCGGTACTTAGATCTGGCTTATCTACTTCCTACCTTTCTATCTAACCAAGGTACCGGTAGAAACAGCTATACTTCACACTTATTACCCAATTGTTTCTATGACTGAAGTTCCCAATGGATCTCTCCTTCCCTCTTCACAGCCACACATAAGCAAAGTCAAGTACACACACATCAACAGTTTACACATAAATTTTCCTAAATGACTCACAACGTCATTGTACTGTTAGTTCTGCGTGTCGGTGGGACCCTCGCTGTACATGCTCCCCCTCCACTCTATTACACGGACATTTAAAAAGTATACACCAAGTACACGATTCCCATTATGCATGAATTAGAAAGTTTGTTTATTATGACGCGCTAGGCAGGCTAGACAACGTATGATATGAGTCGCGTCAGTGTGTGTTGTTGCTGTCATGTACATCACCTCTTGTTGAAACTTACGAAACATGAGGGAAAATATAATACTGTTGTAGAGTTAAATATACAGTTATACGACACTAAGACACAGCACCACTTAGTCTCCCTCTAACAACATTAACCATAACGCCACACATCTTCCTCTGTGATAAACTCAGCATACCTAACATTATATGGTCATGCGATACCGGCCATATCCAGTAACAGGACCACGCCAGCTGTTATGGGTGAGTAAATATTGTGAACCCGTCAGTAGCTGCATCACCTGTCGTCAGGAGAAAGCAAAGACTCCTCTAGTTCCCGTCTCTGACATTTTATGTCTCCTGTGTCATATTTATAGATTATTAAAGCCATATAAAGTGGCCCTCAAGCTTCATTTCTTTTTTCGGTGGCGCTGTTCAAGTTGAGCGAACATTCTCTGCGCCTCTCCAGCCCTTTATGATGCAACCTGAGAACAAACTGCTCACTTTAGTTTGACAAACGGCAACATTTAGTGGCCGCTACACGTGAATCTGGGCCGAGAGACGCCACCATGCCCGCCAGAGCTGCAGTGGTGGCCGGGCTCACTGACTGCCCAGGCTGTGTGGATACGGACACATTCTTTACGATGTTTATGTTGTTCCTTTGTACCGAGCCCAGGTGATGGTTTGTTTACTGGGTAGTGTCTCTCTCGTGTGTGTGTGTGTGTGGTGTGTTTACTTTATTGTTCTTTAATTTTTTATCCAAGTAAACGTTTATCAAATGTACATAATTAACGGCTACATTGAGAGAGAGAGAGAGAGAGAGGCAGCATCAGTAGCAGTGCCCCCCAGGTAGTGCCAGGCGGGGGCCGTGTTGACACAGGTAATGATCGTCTTCACTCCCACTAGCCACCTATTGCTGCACCCTCGCCCGCGCCGCGCCCTGCCTGTTTACACAACTTACTATCCCTATTTACACGTGTATGGTAAACCTGACACCACAGTTGTCCTCCAAATGGGTTTGTTTACAGTACAAAAACATTTACTCATTACTGCCTTTCCTAATTCGCAGACAGACAGACTTGCGCCACTTAAGAGACGAGAACTAGCAGCGTGAAAATGACCATCCGGAGTTACCAAGATTCTGTTGGTTAGTTTTCTCTGTTAACTGGTGTTAAGTGAACGAGCCTTTCTGGTTAAGGGAGAGTCTCAGTGTAATTTTAATGGAGTTTTGGGCGAAATTCTTCGATATTTTAGCCGAAGTCATGCGCGTTCTCACATCTCCAGTTTACGGGGGATTTTTAAAGTATAAACAATTGACTTTCTTGGTCCCAGTTACCGAAATGATCTTCTCTTGTGTAATTTTGATGTTTCTCCACATAATGTTTATTACATAAATATAACAATGTATTTCTTCTGCTTCTCCAAATCATGAAAAACGCAGCAAGAAACCAAAACAACATCGGAGCTTGGCAGGGGAGACTGTTTACACACTCGACTTAGTGTTTACTTCCCCGCCAAACTCACCCACTTGTTCCTATGTTCTCTCACACTCACTATTTCTCTTGGAGAACATAAACCTTAGAGTCAAAACGAACCTAAAATGTATTGATTTAAACTATAAATAAATACCAAAAATCATGGACGTGACCTTACGTTACAATATAATATCCTCCTGATGCCGGTAATAATATATCTGTTATTAAGTTGCTTTAATAATAATCTTTTAGAAATAGATTAGGTACAATACTTTTTTTTTTGGGGGGGGGGCATCCAGTACACGTTTACAAGGGGACGGTGAACTGAAGAATACCCAATAATTATGGTATTCTGTACCTAACGCACAGACTGGAACCAGACGCCTCCAGTGCTCTTCAGTAACACGACACGAGTCTTGGGTTGTGATGCCACGTCTCCACACAACTAGATGGTCTAAGTGTGTCAAGATGGAAGACCCAGGCAATGTTGTGGCCCCTAGCAACAGTTATTAGTGGTAGTGTGGTCCCCAGTAGCTCCTAGCAATGTTGTAGTCCCCAGCAGCTCTTAGTAATGTTGTGGTCCCCAGCAGCTCCTAGTAATGTTGTGGTCCCCAGAAATTCCTGGTAATTTTGTGGTCCCTAGCAATAGTTTCTAGTGGTAGCGTGGTCCTCAGCTGCAGTTTCTAGTTATGTTGTGGTCCCCAGCATCTCCTAGTAATGTTGTGGTCTCCAGCAGCTCCTAGTAATGTTGTGGTTCCCAGCAGCTCCTAGTAATAGTATGGTCCGCAGCAACAACAGCTCTTAACACCCTGTTCTGGTAATCACAAGACACACGCCTCACCGGGGTGCAGGAGGCCAGGGTCAGAAGTAGGGAGTCCGGTGTGGTTACAAGCGCTGCTAATGATGTTTTATCCACACTCTTTATTACGCCTGATGTATGTTTCAACTCCTTATGTGACCACTGGTTGACGTCCCTGATGTGGTCACGGCAGACACAAGGCGGAGGAGCGTCCCTTTGGGATTCCTTTCTCCTGCCTGGGTTTGTGAGGTGGAGAGAGACGCCAGGTGATGCTGAGACAATAAATGATGATGGCCAGGTAGGTCAGGTGAGAGCCCGGTGAGGGCTAGGTAGGTCAGGTGAGGGCCAGGTAGGTCAGGTGAGGGCCAGGTAGGTCAGGTGAGATGCAGGTAGGTCAGGGGAGATGCAGGTAGGTCAGGTGAGGGCTAGGTAGGTCAGGTGAGGGCCAGGTAGGTCAGGTGAGGGCCAGGTAGGTCAGGTGAGATGCAGGTAGGTCAGGGGAGATGCAGGTAGGTCAGGTGAGGACACAGCAGGTGGTGGTCGGGAGGTGATCATCGTCAGGAGCACTACAGTGTGTTCTCACAGACGACCTGCAGTACTGAACCTCACACGGAATTACAGCTTCACACAACACTACAGCTAACATGTGCATTTTACAGCCTTGCCAGGAACATGTGCACTTGAATGGTACACCTATGAACTGTACACACCTGTAACAGTGAAATAATGTACTGTATTTAGTTAAAGTCTCGTCCACATTATACGTACATACACACTAGTAACATGTATTAATAATATATTTGTTTTTCTTCACATACATACTATATACTGTATAGTATGTATTATTCATAATAAATTGTAAGACAGTTTTTATTGGCAAGAATGACCAGTACAATACATTATTATGAAACCTTACAAGGTCTACGACAAGGATCATACACGCTTTATGTTGTTTCTGCGATAATTCTGAACGTAACAATTTTCAGGTATACACACATACACACATTATATATATATATATATATATATATATATATATATATATATATATATATATATATATATATATATATATATATATATATATATATATTAAAGAGAATGAAG